CAGACCTAGATAAAAACCACAGCTTTCACAGGAAACTACAATGTCACAAAAGACAATGAGGCCGTATTCTCCATGCAAGCTGATACTACATTCTTATTTGAGGCAAAACATGTTCCATACACAGTCAAGGAAGAAAAAAATGTAGGAACACATACAATCATACAGGAAATTATTTCAATTGAGGAGTAATGAACAGGCTTTCAGTAGAGAATCTGATAGGGAAGGGGTGTGATCTTAGAAGAGATAGAAGGTCACTTCAAGGAGATAGCCTTGGAGCAGAGACGTGGCCACCCAGTTCTTGTTGGCATTCCATGTGAGCTGATGGATGGGTTCCACACATGTCCAAGGGTCTATGCACACACACTTCAGAAAAGACATTCCAAGCCATCTATACGACACAAGGGTACACTAACAGGACATGCCCAAATACTTGGCCTCAAATACTAGTGATGTCTGCTTTATATTTCAGGTGTTATTTATCTTATTGCTTCAAAGTTTTTTTGCTATATTGCTTTTAGAAGCTATTTGATGGTATTAATTTCATTATCAACTTATTTATCAACAAAACTTTAGTTAAAAATTTAGCTACTTTAACATCCTAAGTAGTCTATCCTCATTTTTTACCTCCCATATTTTCTTTTGCCTGAAATCACCGATTCGAAAAATTTTGTGTTAAAACTTTTATGACCCAAATGGTAATTTTCTTGATCTATAGTTTTATAGATGTGTAATAAGTATTTAAAGCTTTGTATTTATCCCTGTGAAACTTTTAACCAAATTTCATGCATTTTGACAATTAGAATTGTTATTTTTTAATAGTATTGATTCAATAATGCATTTCTTATACAGTTCACTAAGCATTTAAACAGCATTTGAAATGTTTAAAGTGCTGTATGTTATATAAAATTTTGATGTTAATACTTAGCTTTATGTGTGTGTATATCTGTGTAGGATAGAATTTGAAATAATCTGTAGTAAAATCGCTAATTGGTTCTTATCTCTCATCTTTTCCTCCCACGCTGGAGATATCTAAGATTCTACAAGAGGCTACCAGAAAATAAAGGATTAGCCCCTCCCCTTCAGTCAGACCAACATATCCACAGAGTCCCAAAGAGATCTTGATCAGATTTCTTGTCTTGTTTTTTTCTCTTTCATAGAAATAGATAACTCTTAAAGGAGAGTCTCCCATGTGCTGATTCATTCCTCAAATGGCCACAACAACCAGGAGTGGACCAGGCCAAAGTTAGGAGCCTGGGACTCCACCTGAATCTCCCACTAAGATACAGGGGTGGTGGCTTTTGCAGGTGGTGGCTTAACTCACTGTGCCACAATCTGGCCCCCAAGTTTTTCAGTCTGAAGAGTAGAAGCCCAGCACTCAACCCGTTTATTCAGACTGTTTTCTTTATCAGACCACAGTCTTCTCGAGGTGTGCACAATGATAAAAATCCTCAGGCACACCTGGAACTCTAGTGCAGGCCATCAGCGAAGAGGTTAATATCCAAAAAGCAAAGAATCCTGAGAGAAAGGTGGAGAAAACCAGAGAAGATGGGGAGGTGGGGTTGGAGGGGAAAAGAGAAGAAAAGAGGGAGGGTTGGGGGGAAGAGAGAAGAAAGGAGGGAGGAAGGGAGAGAGGGGGAGAGAGAGAGATACATTCAGTTAAAACTGGGACAGAGTAGAGGGGCAGTTCAAAAACTTTATGAAAATAAAATTCAAAGATATTTTGGATTTAAGAAGTTTTTGTATCATGCACACTTGTACTTAAACAGACATTTCTCCAAAGAGGATCATAAATGAGGACCCATGTTGTGATGCAGTGTGGTTAGACCACCACCACTTGCAATGCTGGCACTCATAAGAGTACCAGTTCAAATCCCTGCTGCTTTGCTTCCAATCCAGCTTCCTGCTAATGTGCCTGGGAAAGCAAAATAGGATAGCCCAAGTTCGAGCCTCAGCCACCCATGTGGGAGAATCAAAGTTCCAGCCTCCTAGCTTTGCTGTGGCCAAGCCCTGGCCATTTGAGGCTATTTGGGTAGTGAATCAGCAGATGGAACAACCATCCAACTCTCTGCCTTTTAAGTAAATTAATATTTTTATTAAAAAAAAAACAGTAATGAGGTGTATGTAAACGTGCTCAACCTCATTCATCAAGGAAATGCAAATCAGAACCATGAGGTATCATTCATACCTGTTAGGCTGATTATTTTCAAAAGCAGAAAAGCTAACAATTGGTGAGAATATGGAGAAACTAGAACCTTTGTACACTTTTGATAGAAATGTACAATGGTGCAACCACTCTGCAAAAACCAAGAAAGTTTCTTCAAAATTTAAAAATAAAACTACCATGCGATCAGCTATCCCACCTTTGGGTTTATAGCCAAAGGGACTGCAATCAGAATCTTAGAGAGCTACCTGAACTCTCATAGGCATCATAGAATTATTCAGACTGGCCAAGATACAGAAATATAATGTCCATGGACAGGTGAATGGATAGAGAAATGAGATTATATACACCCACTGGAGTATTATTCAGCCTTGATAAAAAAGGAAATCCTAATTTATGTGACCACATGGATGAACCTAGAGGAAATTATGCTGAATGAAATAAGCAAGACACAGTAGATAAATGTTGTATGGTTCCACCTGTATGAGATGTGTGAAACAGTCAAATTCATCCAAGTGGAGAGAAGAATGGTGGTTGCTGGGATTGGGGGTGGTAGGTGTGGAGAGGAGAAGATGGGAAGTCATTACTTCAGGAAATCTTGTTTCAATTACACAAAATGAATACATTCTGGAGACTTTCTATGTCGCTCCCCCTCTTCGTGGAGGAACGACACAGGACCCTGCGCTGTTCTTTCGTCTGCTCGGCCCTCCCCGGGTTTGCTGCTGGTTCTTCCCGGGTTGGCTACTATCCCTTCCACCTCCGTGGAAGGGCAGTTCCCCCTGGCCGCATTCCCCACTTCCGCAGGGGAGCGGCACACCGCCGGCCGGCTCTCTCGGGGGCTGCACAGGTGTTCCCCTTAGATGTTCCTCTTAGATGTTCCTGGTGCATGCCGTCTCTCTCCTCCTTTATAGCCCTCCTCCGCCAATCCTAACTCGGCTGCCCACACGCCGAGTACGCTGCTCTCCTCCAATCAGGAGCAAGTCCTACAGTTTATTGGTTGAACTGGAGGCAGCTGTGTAGAAGCTGTTTTCTCCTCTCCCAGCACCATATTGTGGGAGAGCAGATGCATAGAATAAGTCTTAATTCCAGTAACTTAGTCTAGTCCGAGTTGCTCCCCACATTTCTATACAACACAATGCCTGTGTCAACCATACTGTATTGGAAAATTTTATTGAACCATTGACCTCATGTCAAGACTTTTACCTCATGTCAAGACTTTTACCTCATGTCAAGACTTTTTATGACAAAAAAGGAGCCATGAAGTGATGGATACATCCATGACCCCGACTGCTGTCATGGTTTGTGGTTATGTGCATGTTTCCAAGCTCTTCAAATCGTATTAAATACGTGTACTGTTTTAATGCATTAATTATATGACAATGAAGATATCCATTTAAATATGATAGTCTACAAATGATAAAAAAAAAAAATCTGTTGCAATGTTGGCTCCCTATACCAGCACTGGTTTGAGACCCAGCTGCTCCACTTCCAATCCAGCTTCCTGTTAATGCAACTGGGAAACCAGCAGCCTAGTACTTGGGCTCCTATACCCACACGGGAGACTGGAAGAAGCTCCTGGCTCCTGGCTTCGGCCTGACTCAGCCCTGGCCATTGAGGCCATTTGGGGAATGAGTCAGCAGATGAAGATAGCTAGCTCTCTCCCTCTCCCTCTCCCTCTCTGTAACTCTGCCTTTCAAATATATATATATATATATATATATACACACACACATATATATACATACATATATACATATATATATATATATTTTGGACAGGCAGAGTGGGCAGTGAGAGAGAGAGACAGAGAGAAAGGTCTTCCTTTGCTGTTGGTTCACTCTCCAATGGCTGCCGCGGCTGGCACGCTGCGGCCGGCGCACCACGCTGATCCGATGGCAGGAATCAGGTACTTATCCTGGTCTCCCATGGGGTGCAGGGCCCAAGCACTTGGGCCATCCTCCACTGCACTCCCTGGCCACAGCAGAGAGCTGACCTGGAAGAGGGGCAACTGGGACAGAATCTGGCGCCCCGACAGGGACTAGAACCCGGTGTGCCGGCACCGCAAGGCGGAGGATTAGCCTAGTGAGCCGCAGCGCCGGCCATATATAATTTTTAATAAAAGAAATTAACTGTTGGCTGTAAGATTTAGATTTTTTTTCTTAAGAAAAAAGATACTGGACTGTTGCTATCACTGAAAGTATAATATCCCTGTTCAGGAATCCTTTGACTACAGACATTGTCATTTCTCTATGCACTCTCAGTATGGTTTAGATTACGAAAGAGGCATATCATGTTGGGTAACCAACTAAGATTCCTTTCTGAGAAAATGTTAATAAATCTTCCAACAGCCCTTTGAAATTTCCTTTGGGTGGAAAATGATTCCCAGCTGAAAACACTTGAACTGTTTGATAATCTACAAATATTTTATCACCTCTTCAGGTGATGGATTATATTCAGAAATAGTTAATGTAAGGATAACTCTAAGGGCACAGAAATTATGCAAAGTTCAATTCTTCTATAAAAAGCTCTTAATGTGGTAGTGATATATTGAAAGATTGATTTCCAAGCATACATCTGGAGTCTATTTCTAAGGATTAGGGCAAGATGTCACACAATGTACATTTTTTAAATGCTACACGTTAGTAATAACATTAAAGTTCTACTCTGTGCTGTGGTTAGATGATTCACATGACATTGTAAATATTATGATTGAGTATCTGATATAACAGAGGAATCTTGGCATCTTAAGAAAGCACAACATCTTAGTCCATTTTGTGCTACTATAACAGAATGCTCTGGACTTCCAGTTTATCAAGAATTTATCAGAATTATTTCTTACCGTCTTGGAGGCTGGGAAGTCCAAGATCAAGGGACCCATATCTGCGAGGACCTTTTGATGCATCATCCCACGGCAGAAGGCTGCAGAGCAAGAGAACGTGAAAGTGAGAGGATAGCTCAGGATAACTCACTCACTCCTGTGAATACTTAATGACATTAATCACCTCGTTAGGCTTCTCTCTCCAACACTGTTGCATTGCAGATTAAGTCTGCAATACATGAACTCTGGGGACACATTCAAGTCATATCTATCCTTGCCCCCCAAAACTTATGTCCTTCTCACAATACAAAAATACATTCATTCTATTCCAATAACCCCAAGTCTTTTTCCAACATCAGAAGTCCAAAGTTCAAAATTTCATCTAAAATCAGATGAGACTTAAGCATGGATTATCCTGAGACAAATTCCTTTCCAACTGTGAACCTGTGAAACTAACAGGTATGCTTCCAAAATACAATGATAGAAGAACATAGGATAGAAACTTCTGTTCCAAAAAGAGAACTAGGAAAGAGCAAAGGAGTAGCCAATCTCAAGTAAGTTTAAATCTGAATAGGGTAAACATTAAGTCTCAAAGCAGGAGACCAAGCCACTTTGACCCCATGCAACACAACTGTGGACACTATGTCAGGATATTAGCCCTTGAGACCTCAAGCAAATCTGACCTTACGGCATGACAAGATTCAGTCTTCCCAATAGTTCGCCCAGGTTGGAAGTTCATGTCTTAAAGTTTTCCCAGGCTGAAGTGGCACCCTGTTGACCTTTGGTTCTAGAGTTTTTGGTGCTTCCCCGTTCTCAAGATCTACCACACATCTCCTTAGTGGGGACTCTGCAGCGACTCCTTCCTACAGTCCCATTGCACATTGCCCTAATGGAGGTGGTCTATGATGGCTCAAGCTCTGCGTCAAGTCTTGAGGGTAAGCATTCAGCTGATTTTGGCCTCTGCTGCTTGGTTTCTTATTCAGCTGCTAGTTAATGCACATCCTCAGAGGCAGAAGGTGATGGCTAAAGTACGTGAGTCTCTGCTACCCATAGGAGAGATCCTAATTGAGTTTTAGCTTCTAGCTTCTGCCAGCCCTGGCTGTTGCAGGCATCTGGGGATTGAACCAGCGTGCAGATATCTAAGTAAGAGGAGTATGAATATTTACTAGAAGTGTCCTCCTGGGATCCTAGAATGTCTGCAATGTCCTGTGAATTCTAGGTGGAGGCCACCATGGCTCCATGCCCTTATATTCCGTGCACTTGCAGAATTAATATCACATGAGCACCACTAAGGCTTATGGCCCTGCCAGACTGGCAGGTGTAGACACGCCTTGGCCCACTTGAGCTATGGCTGGGCAGCTGAATTTGGGGAATGAAATCCAAAGGTGCCTCAAGACAGTGAATGCTAAGTAGCCTCAGGTCCTTCTCTGGCAAACTTGCCTTCAAGTTCTGACCCTAGGCCTTGGTGGGAGGTGCCTCATGTCCCAACGCTGTTGCACTGTGGATAATTTTCCAACACATGAACTAACATCTCATGAAGAGTATGCCACTTTAGCTTGGAATCTCACAAAAATTAGGTTATGGTCAAGGCTATTAGAGGACAATGCAGCTTTGTTAGTCATAGATGAAGCGAGGAGGTGCAGCACAGGGGGAGGTAGGACAAAATAAGGTGTCCAACTTAGTGGACTTGGAAAAACTAAAACACCTCATGCTTCCTCCATGTGTCCTGGCTCTGCTAAGCACAGGGCGTAGTCAACAGGAAGAATGTACCTTTCCTGTGGTCAGGCTGGCTCCCGAAGAAGGAAACAGAAGGATGTGGCCTGCGTGAGCACATTTCGTTTCAGCTTCTCAGACTTCCAACATGGTCAGCACTTTCACTGCTCCCCCTTCCACTCTGGGGGATGACGGAGAAGGTAAAGAGGCCCAGTGTTTAGGGAAAGTCTTTCTTGCTGATTCTGTGAGCTGGGAATATGAGGTCTGCTCCAACGCTGCTCAGCTTTATCACTCTCCTAGCTCACTGGCCTAACCACACAGTCAATTAGGGCCATGACTCTTCTCTGAGAGGAAACAAAACCAGCTTCCAACTTCCAGCTTCAGCTTGCAACGCTGTACTGCACTGCACCTCAGTGACGATTCCTACTCCCCTGGCTACACCCTTGATGTCACTGGGCAAGAAACATCAGGTTCTTGCTGCTCTCTGCTGGACAGCCGACTCACCAGATGAGAACTGGGTTTCGTTCAAGCTGGCAGCCTTGAGGCAAGAGTGACCCCTGAATCCAAAACATGCTCTGTCTGCCCAAGCAGCCACCAAAAAGGGCTTTTAAAGGGAAGGAGGAGCTGCAGGTGGAGGTCAGAAGAAACAATGAGTGCAATCAACTGACAAGCATATTTGCAGGCTTTGTTCTGCTGATGGTCTGATGAGGAAAGCTGGGGCACTAGCCAGCTGGAAGGTTCTTGTGAATGCAGCTCAACTGTTTGCACTTGATGGCCGCATGCTTTCTCCTTAGCTGGGTGTGAGGTCTGCCTTTCCATCTCCTTTCAGTGGGCTCTGAAGTTCTTATGCAGACATTATTATTCTAAGACACAGGCACTTCATAATATCAGTAGGTTTGTTTTGTTTTTCTTTTTAAATAGGAAAATTGAAAGGAAAATATCTTCATTACTGTTACATTAATACTGTGCTCTGCTTACCACTGCAGCATAAATCATATCTCAAAACACAGTAAGATACAACACTCATTTTTTTAAGGCTCACTGAATGAGCCAATGTGAAAGTCTTGTCTTTGCTCTACCACCTCTGAGGCCTTGATCAGAAGGACTCAATAGCTGGGGATGACTGGACAGCTGAGGAAAGATTTGGATGCTGTTTCATACACATTTCTTATGACTGAATGTAGGCGACTGAATCTGCGGGATGGGACCACACCTGGTGCCGTGGGCTAGAGCTCCGATGCATTGCTGCTTCATGTAGACTGTGGACTCCAGTGCACTTGGGTTGCTTACACAGCAACTCAAGGCTACAAAGCCAGCAGCCCAAGACAACCAGGAGGCAGCTACATGGCCTATCAAACTTAATCCAGATAGTTAGGCATGTCACTTCTGTTGCATTTGATGTTTTCATCAAGTCCCTGAAGGAAGCAAAATTCAAGGGGAACAGACATAAACTCTCAGCTCTTTTTTTAAAAATGTTTTATCTTTTTTAAACTTATTTGAGAAGGAGAAAGAAAGAGAAATTTCTCATCTGCCACTTTTACTCCCTAAATGTCTGCAACAGCGAGGCCTGGGTCAGACCAAAGTCAGAGCAAGAGACTATCCAAGTCTCCCATATGGGTGGCAGGGATCCACATAGTTTAGTCATCACTGCTATCTCCCAGGATGCACATTAGCAGGAAGCTGGGATTGGGAGTAGAGCCAGAACTAGAGCACAGGCGATCTGATATGGGACGCAGGTGCTACAAACAGCATCTTGAACGCCAGGCCAGATGCTTGTCTCAGCCTCAACTCTGTAAGAGAAATTATCAAATCTTATTCAGAGGTGCGCTCAGACTTCCACAATGCAGTAGTTATTAGTGTTCATTTTGTCCCATAAGGGTGAGAAATTAGTCAGAATGTATTAATTAGTTCCAAGACAAGTTTGGCAAAGTCAAAATTTACCTCTCTGCTGTGTTTCCTATCCAGTTAGAGCCCTTAAGCATTTCAACATAAGATCCTCCTCAGAGAGATTAAATGGCAACAGATACAAGAGTAAGTTTCCTATATACACTCTGATAAAAGATTCCACGATATATAAATGTTCCAATATATTGAATGTAGTTTCTCTTTAGTAATGTTCAGAGGAAGAAATTAAAGGTAAATACTAGAAGTATTCAAGTAAAAAGACTTCAAAGAAACCCAAAGACATTATAGAGCAATGTGAAAATGTCTTGCCTTTGTTAAGTTAAAGCTTAAAGAAAGGAATTCCCCCCAAATCCCCCTTCTGCTCAGCGGCAGCTAAAAATGTTCTTCATAACCAGATGGGTTGGAGGTTTTTGTCCTGGCAGCTGCAGGCTGGGCGATTCCTCACTGAAGCGACTACAGAGGCTTCAGGACTCCAAAGCTGTGCTAATTCTTTCTCAACTCTTCCTTCAGCCTCTGCAAAGCTTTCCCAAATTCAGAAATCTGAGAGGACAAGACCCCACAGAGCTCATGCATGTGAGGTTTTTATCTAGGGGCAATAGGTAGGATCCCTTACAAGAGAAGCCTGGAGGGTGTGAGAGACATCCAGGTGTAACTTCCTAAGGACCTCGTCACACAGCACCAGCATTCAGAATCGAACCACCAGGAAGGGTGCAATGAACTCAGACCTCCAGAGGGCTCACAGCAGAAATCCAGGAGAAGGTTTCTAAGGTTCCTTCCCTCTGATCCAGGCAGGCCACGCCAATGAACCTGTTAGACCGTTAGGAAATCAAAACCAACAAAGTGTCCCTCCGGGTCAGCACTTAATCGGAACAGTATACAATCCTATTACTCTTCTCTTGGCCAGGAGTCAGAGTCGAGTATCCAGGAATCCCCAGAAACAAAGCCGGGGCTGTTACCAGGTAGCCGAAAATGACCTTAATTACAGTCTCTCTTCTGCAGGGCTCACAGATAATCACTGCTCTGTGCCCACACTCAGAGAACTTAGAACACGAAGCACTCAGCAGCCCCTAAAGCAGGCAATGAGGCAACGTTTGGTTTTTACTACTCCGTACTTAGTGATGGCAAAGACCATAGCAGAAATTCAATGGCTCCGCGGGAAGCGGCACAAATGGAGACCATTAGTGCTTCCAGTTCTTCCACAACACCGTGCACTCTGTGCTATGGGGCTGTGACGTGGCAGGGAGCAGATGTCCTTCCAGAGCCTCCAGAGGGAAGCCACCCTCAGACGTGCAGGTATTGCTTTTCCCGCCTCCACGACTGCCAGACACCACGGTTCGTGGAGATTTATTACAACATCCCTGGAACACCAGTCCACAGTCTGACTCCACTGTTCATGTTAGACCACCACAGGTTTTTAGCCTCCGTCTCCCTATCTCTTCCTCCACGTCTGAGAAAGCTACTCAGAATGTGAGACGCTCCCTCCTTTTGTGCCAGTGAAGGTTTCAAGCTACTTGTGGGAATGCTGCAAGTGAGTTGCCCTAAATTCACAGATATTTCTGCTCGCGTTGTGCCTGTCCCGCAGACCAGCTAACAAAGCAAGGAGGAGTGGCCGGACTACGAGGACATGCAATGTGTTTTCCCTGCGCAGCCCAGCCATCTTGTGGGATCTGCGTGAAGGCAGCCTCCAGCCAGGAAGCATTCTCACTGTGCTGCAGTGCCCTGTCCTGTCTTGATTGTCCCCTGCTCTTCTGCAGTTGTGCCCTCCCTAAATCACTCAAACAAGAATCCTGTGGGGAGCAGCCCAGACTGGACTGAGTTACTGGAATTAGGACTTATTCTATGCATCTGCTCTCCCACAATATGGCGCTGGGAGAGAAAGTAAACAGCTTCCGCACAGCTGCCTCCAGTTCAACTAATAAACTGTAGGACTTGCTCCTGATTGGAGAGCAGCGTACTCGGCGTGTGGGCAGCCGAGTTGGGATTGGCGGAGGAGGACTATAAAGGAGGAGAGAGATGGCATGCACCAGGAACATCTATGGGGAACATCTAAGGGAACCTCGTGCAGCCCCCGAGAAAGCTCGGCCGGCGGTGTGCCGCTCTCCTGCGGAAGTGGGGAATGTGGCCAGGGGGAACTGTCTCTTCCACGGAGGTGGAAGGGATAGTAGCCAACCCGGGAAGAACTCAGCAGCAAACCCGGGGAGGGCCGAGCAGACGAAAGAACAGCGCAGGGTCTCTGTGTCATTCCTCCACGAAGAGGGGGAGCGACATAATG